TTGCCCAGACCAATGCCCCTTCCGCTTACCACACAGTTGATCATGGCAATGGCTGAGGTACCGTGGTAGAGGGGCATACAGCTATACCAACGATCACCGCCAGGGCCTGGTTTGTCTGCCACCATGCCGCCAGAGCGAAGAAGAACCGTGGTATATAACCGGGACATGGTGAAGGCGCAACCTTTCGGCATGCCCGTAGTGCCGGATGTATATAGTAGAATAGCCGGGTACTCGCCATTCATGCCCAATCCCAGACGGCCATTCTCAGGAACCTCGGTGGGAAATTGTGATAGCACAGTGGTAGTAAACGTGGGATTCACAGTAATGAGTTCCATGCCGAGGTCGCCCTCGATCGCGGATTTACACTCGTCTATGCGGGCAAGGCACTCATCATCGTCATCCACCAGCACCAGCTTTGTGCCACTGATCTTCAAACAATGCAGCAATGCATCGCCCGACAAGTTATAGTTGATCGCGGCCGGCGCGCATCCAATACTCCACAACCCGAGCCAGGCGAAGATGAACTCGGCCCGGTTCTGCAAATAAAAGGCCACCAGATCACCTTTCTTCACGCCTTTCAATAAAAAGAAGTGTGCGTATTGATTTGCGAATGCGATGGTTTCGCGGTATGTGTATGATCGCTCGCGCGTCCAAATGCAGGAGAAGTCGGGATATCGAGCTGCAGTTTCGTTGAACAGAAACCAGACGTTGCCTTTCTTCTGGGCGACGGCGCGCGCATACTCTCGCTCGCTCCTTCGGACATTCAGAATGCCGGAGACATCCTTGGAAATGTGGAATTTGGCGTTGAGGTACGCCGCCAATGTCGCTCCACCAGCGACTGCAGCTGCTATGGATGTTGTTAGTATGGAAGATATCAACCAGGCTCATCCTCATACGCACCGATGCTCATATTGTATGTACTCTAGTGAATTCTGGAAGGCGATCCTTGTGTCCTACCAAAGCAGAGTAGGTGTATGGAGGAATTGATAAAAATGCGGAGACACTGACGATCTTGTACTCCGCAGCCGGTACATTATTATAGCCGGTATTCAATGTCCCTCGGTTGCTCCGCAATGCCCCCCTTATATAAGAAGGGCGCCGATCTTCGACATAACAACATGGCAGAAGTAATGCATAGCTGGGGAAGCTCACTAACTAAGGCATAAAATGCGGGGTCCGCCCGACCTCGGTTTTTCCATAAACATACTATACCGAGAGGAGAGTTGCCACGACGCCGAATACGATGGTCATGTCAACTACTCCCGGCTCCTTCCCCATAGATAGGGTCTCGAACTGTCCGGAAATGATTATTCTACACAAGCGGTCTACCCTTGGTACTGTTCAGGAGAGAGGTCACCGTTTGGGAGATTGCCCCTAGGCCTCGGGTTTGCTATAGATCATCAGGCGATGCTGAGTGGTTGGTGCTGACGTGGAAAACTGGGTCTAAACGTTAATGCAGTTCCCCACACAATTATGCCAGATGAGGAGCAAGCTGCCCCCCAGAACTCTTACGAGGATTCACCTTGATCACTGTTTGTTTGTTTCTCAACATTTTCCTGTTTGTTCGCGGTTCCAGTCCCACTGCAAGTGAGTGGGGATCCCAATGAGTCAACAAGTTGAGCCCTAAAGTTCACTATCGGCGATAGCTCGGCCCGACTTGTAGGTGTAAGTGGGGGTCAACCTGTTTAGCAGTCTTAACCATACAGGGTCTGTTAGCATCACTAATCAGATCTCAACATGGTTCATCCTGGTAGTCTCGATGGTAACAAATGCAGGTGGCGAGATACTCCGCGGAGTCTTTTTAGCCCCAGCTGACTGGGAGTGAATCCAATCAGCCGATATATTGATGTGACGAATTTGAAAGTCGTCCGTTGAAATGGCAATAACTAGGCAGTTGACTGCCTACTTCGATGGTGGCGTGATATGTGTGATGTCTGTAACCCATGATGTGCTGGGGGCACTGTCTTGTCTAAGACCAAATGATGGATGTTTGGCTTTTTCACTTAAGCATTATGGAAAGATATATAATGCTCATATATTGGCAGAGCACGCAGAATGGTAGCCATTCTTATCGACTAAGCGCAACTTTCCCGGGTCCATAAGCATCTTTATACTACGTACTCTCCTGCAAAGATCGTCATGGCTAGGACCACAGCCACAGTTGGTGGCTTCAGCCTATATAGGCCAAATCCCTATTTATCCTATATTGTAGGTAAGAAGTCCCACCATGTCAGTCAGCACTGTAAATGACTAATATGATAGCACCCCGGACATACAATCTCCGTATCGGCCATGGCATTCTCCTATTTAACATTCGCCGGACATGTTCACTCCGGCCAATAATAATGTCAAAGACACCTCATATCCTCCGCCGAGCACATATAATCTTGTCCCCGCGTTGCCGAACCTAATCCTTACTCGTGCTAAGACGGCCGAGCACCACTGCCTTTTGTTATCCTATTTGCCAAGTTCACGCCAAGGACAGCTGGCGGCCTTGCACTCCGCATAAACAATGGCCGTATCTGGCTGCGGAGATGATAAAGATACATAGCCAAGACTGGGGGAGGCAGTGCAAAGCTTGGACTCTGGGGAAACACGTTGATGGGACCACCTCTGCCACACCTTAACAAAGCAGACTAGGATCCAAATGATACTAAAAGCCAGATGATACACTCGGCATCTTCTTGTTTTGCTACAATTTGGCGCTTGAGTATGAGGTATATTCGGACAGAGTTTGCCGATCCCAGCCTACGTCTTCGCTGTCTCCTCGTTAGTATAGGTCATCTCTGCTCGTTGCAACATCTGCTAACCCGTGGAGGTAGATATCACCGCTCTTGGCTCTCTGGATGTAACCCCGCGATTCTCAAAGCAGCATGCAGCATGCTATCTGGGGGGTCCAAGTGTGATCTGCGATGTGACTGTCAACAAGTAGGTATAAAAGCGCTTCCCTTTGCATGATCAACCAGCCATGTCCTTCCAGATTCATTACCCCACCCCGCAATACTCATCCCAACAATATGTCTCCCCCAGAGAAGCCCCCTCCCCCAAACACAGACGAAAAGCCCGAAACCGTCCACCGGGAGTACACACTGGGCCAGGATGGTGTCAAGTCGCCCCAGCACCGGGGCGACTACTCCGGTGCGCGGAAGAAAACAGACCCCGTGGAGATTCGTCTGGTCCGCAAACTGGATACTTGGATCATGCCCACGTTGTGGCTGATGTACTGGCTCAACTACCTTGACCGCAATGCGATCGCTTTGGCGCGGTTGAATGACCTTGAGGAGGATCTGGACTTGTCGTCGTCTGAGTATCAGACTTGTGTTTCGATTTTGTTTGTGGGGTATCTTCTGGGACAGATTCCGAGTAGTAAGTTTTTCTTTTTTGGAGGGGGGTTTGTTTGGATGGTGGAATGGATGGGGGTGTGGGCTGACTTCGTGGGTAGATATGTTGATCACTAGGGTGAGGCCATCGTGGTATATGTCTGGGTGTATGGCGCTGTGGGCGGTTGTTAGCGCTATTACTGCTGTTGCGAAGGACTTCAAGGGACTGTTGCTGGTCAGGTTCTTTCTTGGTGTGACTGGTATGCTTACCCTTCCTTAATAGCTACTTCAGTGGATTGTTTACTCACGCTATCTATAACAGAGGCCCCATACTACCCAGGTAGGCCCACCTTGGCTATTCTACGCAGACATGCCTGACCATACGTAGGAGCTCTTTACATGCTATCCATCTTCTATACACGGAAAGAAATCGCAACTCGCATCTCGATCCTGTACACAGGCAACATCCTCGCAACCGCCTTCGCCGGCCTCATCGCAGCCGGCATCTTCCACGGCATGGATGACCTGGCCGGGCTCAGCGGCTGGCAATGGCTCTTCATCCTGCAAGGCGCCATCACCTTCGTCATTGCCGTCCTATCAATCTTCACGCTCCCCGACGATCCGCTCGTCACGCGCTGGCTCACCGAAGAAGAAAGAACACTCGCCCACGCCCGCATCGTAGCAGATACCGTCGGCGCCCGCCACCAAACCAGCACCTTCAGCGGACTCAAGGAGGCCGCGCGCGACCCGAAACTGTGGCTCTTCGCCTTCATGCAGCACATGCACCTTGCTGCAAACGGCTTCAAGAACTTCTTCCCCACTGCCGTCGAGACATTAGGCTTCTCGACAACCATTACGCTCGTGCTCACCTGCCCCCCGTACTTGATTGCCGGGCTTATCTCGGTGTTCTGGTCGTGGAGCTCCGGCAGACTTAACGAGAGGACTTGGCATATCACTGTCGCTAAGGCGATTGCCATCTTCGGGTTCGTCCTGGGTTGTGCGACGCTGAACACCGGGGCGAGATATTTCGCCATGGTGGTCTTCGCTATTGGCACTTATGCGGTGAATAGTATCGTGCTGGGTTGGGTGAGTAGTACCTGTGGACAGACGAAGGAGAAGAAGGCTTCGTCGTTGGCGATTGTGAATACGATTGCGAATGCTTCGTTTGTGTGGACTCCGGTATGTTTTGTTTTTCTCCATTTGTGGGGGTTGCTGGGCTATACTGAATCGGTTGTGCTAATGGTTGTAGTATCTGTGGCCCTCATCCGATGAACCTAGGTATACGATGGCGATGTCCTCGAGTGCTGCGTTCTCGCTGGCTTGTGCGGCCAGTGCCTGGGTGATGAAGATATGGCTTATGCGGGCAAATAGGAAGATCCGTCAGAGCAATGATGAATCGGTGCTATACTACGCTTATTAGTTTGTGGGTTAGCTGTTTCGACCACGGATTTCATTCCAACTATGTATCTAAGTGAGCTGTATGTACGGTATACAAAAGCGTCACTTGATCCGAGATGCCAGTTACCTGTCCCATATCGTGTCTTCATCATATCCACCGTAGTCCTGATGTGTAATTTCAGATCTCCTGGTCCTATTGTATTTTCTTTGCCTCGCAATTCCATCTCGTCGTCGGTGTTCTTGATCGCGTTCTTTCGGTAGACTGCAAGGATATGTCGCTGGCTAGTGCATAAGGCCTAATTTTGTGATCACTCCCTTGTCGAAGATGAACTGCATTCCGACAGTGGGACGCTCCTTATCGCAGTATTCGTATGGACCTTTGAGGAGGTCGTAGCCGCCCGAAGACCGAAATCTTCGATATCCCAGTACCATATTATTCGATCTCGGCTCAGTAATGAACTGTTGAAGAAAGGCATTAGTGACAAACGATGGTACCTGAAGTATTAAATAAACAAAATGGGAAAAGCAAAGGCAAGGTATATGACTCGCTACCTACCACGATGCTGTTTACTCCACAAGGCTCGGGGTGTCCCAGACGTTTATCAGTGCAATTGATAGCCACGCCGGTGATTCTCTGGTCATTCCCCGGGTTAAACGTCACCTCGTTACATGCAAATTCTGAGATAGATTCGTGGTTCTCAGCTCTACCGACTAGCTTCTGAGTTCCATCGCTAAACTTGAAGAGCAAGCCGCCGATTGCTTTGCCCTGACCGAAAGGGAAGAATGCCTCGATGCTATCGATCATACAAGAACAGAAGTCAAGGAACTGTACAGGAGCCTGGGTCCTAGTGCTGAATTGCTTGGGGCTCGGCATGAGTCTCGCAGGCTCATTGTCGGGCGATGGCCAATTGCCGATCCAGCGAGTAGTCCCCAGTAGGTCTACTTCCATATCCCACACGAATCCCGGGGAGGCTGTAGCTAGATCCGCGACTATTATGCCGAACTGGGCGATATGGTCTTCCTAGGTTGAGTTAGCAATTGCTGTTCAGGAACCTACCACTTGTTTATACGAACGGAGTATTGCGCACTGAAACCAACCAACGTTTCGATAGTCCTTGCGCATAGGATGTGAACAAGGTCATTCTTGGTCCAATGACCGAGCTTGGCATAGGGACGATGGTAGTTGCCATCTGTGATTATTGCAATGCCCTGTATCGTATACCTTGCGCGGGACTCACGCATGGGACCGAGCGATATGACGAAGCCGTTGATGAGCATGTCTTTTTGAAATGATACACTCTGAAGCGAGTTGGTTTGATAGCCCACGAGACGACCGGACTTGTCTCCTTCCAGGAAGAATTCCATACCAACCATGTCGCTGTCTGCCCCAAAATACACTTTGACATTCTTAGGATGGGGCGGATTGTCAATCAGAGGTCTGATATAGACGTCTGTATTCTTCTTATCAATGGAGACATCCCACGAGACCGTCACTGCTCGAAAGCTGGAGAGGCTTAGGATCTGTGTTGAGACACCTTCGTGGTTGTCTTTGCTTGCAACAGACTCTTCAATGTCATCAAGAATGCGATCAATGCACCTCATAATTCTACGGCGGTTCTGCAGGCCTAGATACTCATCCCACGGTCCGTTCGTGTCGTCAGGTGTGACAGTAGCTCGATTAGCCGCGCTGCGAGACTCTTATAGTCCATTGGGCTTTCCATCTCGGCCAGTATCTTGTTGAGCGAAGTGTGCTCCATCCAGGGCATCCTGTGTTCAATCACGGAGTGCCAATATTTGTTTGGAAATGAGGTGCTAGCTGCACAAAAGGCCGGGCTCGCTCGCTGGACATCGAAGAGCGACTCAGACGGGAGAAGGTGCAGGATCTCATGACGCAGCTCAACTGGGAAGCGCCAGAATGGATCAACATATTGGTAGCTTTTTGCCTCGTCCCACAATTTAGCATTAATCTCCTCTGGACCGTCGCGCCTTGCGTCTTCCAGGAGCTCATAGAAGTCCGGTTCATAGTCAGGGTTTGTAACAAGCCACTAGAATCCGGTTAGTAGCTTGAGCAGAACGTAGTATTGATCGTACATACCTCGTATCCATCTAGAGCCATCCACCTATGTCCTTGGAATGGCCCAGCTCCGCCGTAGTAGCAATCACCCCAGTTGATAACGGTGCCATCGCTCATCGGCATACGCATTTGCATTCGGAGAAATATCTCGCGTCCCATTGTGGTCATGTGTTTGTCACCCATGCCCATTTCGAGAAGCATCATGAAGCACGCATTGTGAACGGCGAATCCCTCATCCCACGCGGCGAACTCGAGCTCATTTTCAGGACCATTCAAATTTGTTCGAAAGATACGGGACGGCTCGTACTCGTATGTACCCTTAATTTGCTTAGTATACACGTCGTGGCGTTTGAGAGTTCATTACCAGTAGCTCACAGGGGCATACTCACCATCATACTAATATAGTATGCGCCTTCTTCGTCCGAGTCCTCTCCATCATGAACATTGGCACGCACGATCCTGGTCAATTTAAGCCACTGCAGATATTGTCAGATACCAGAATCACCGTTGGTTAACTCTAGACTCTTGCTTCATACATAAGTGTCGTTTTCGTTAGTAAGATATGGGCCGTAGGTAGAATGCTGGACGAAGTTTGTGGACAGCGGTCCCCCACAGATATTGCAGAAATGCTCGCCGTCATCCATTTCGATCGGTCGGTCGCCACGTTGGGTCCCTAAATAGGGAGAAAGAGCCGGCCTGACGTAGGAAGCGCTGAGCTCCCGAGAATTGAACGTCAATGGTGTTGGCCCTGTCTCTGCACTTAAGGATGAGAGAGGCCTACAGTGATAATACTGAGTCGATATATCCTGGCCTCATTGAATGACACGGACTTTGATGGCCAACAGCTCTGCCTAGAAGCAAGCTGCTGACCTTTCTTGACGAAGAGGCAGTCTTTATGAATTAGTGGTTCTTTCAGTCCTAGAAATCGCGGTGATAAGCAATGTGATTGTTGGTTTGGTCGATCACGCATGCCACAACAAAGGAAAAGGAAAGAAAGACCACGGTCGGCAAGGACTTACGGTCAGCTTTGCCTTCTGTAAACAGGCTGCTAAGTGTTATTGGCTAATGACGATTCCTCTGGAAACAAGCAATGTTATAGATGGTGAATTTCACCGGAGCGGGAAAACAGATAGCCGGCGAGGTCGGTGTATATTTGCATGCATCCCCAACTTGTTTGATATATCCTGATCAGAGATGAGTATGCCCTTCAGAATTCGCAGCTCTCCTTTATTAGGCAGAACCTGAAGTTCGCTTGACCTATAAGGTAATGACATCTTATTCCTTTCACTATTCCCTGTATGCTAACTACCAATATCAGCGAAGCCCTACATCCTCAACTAAGCCACTAACCCGCAGTAAAAGACGGGCCTGGCTCATGTAAAGTCTTGAAACACTCTCGTTGGCACCAGCTTCTCATGCACTCCTCTTTTGCTTTCGTGGGCTGGCTTCCACGCCCAGGCCTGATCCTTCTGCGGGCCGTTACTCACACCATTCACCACGTTGGCCACGTATTTTCCAATTGTCGGGAGAAACTTATAGCAGTGGAACGAGCCCCCTATCGCGAAGTACACATTCGAGAGGCTAGGGTTTGGGTGTCTAGTGATGAGTGGTTGTTGATCGGGGGTAATAGAGTCCCAGCACAGGCGATAATAATCTGGTTTGCGGCCATTGTCCAGAACCTGAGGTAAGCGCGGCCTAATCAGATTGATCGAGTCTTCCTGGAGACCAGATGGAGCATTTGTTTGGTCTGCAACAGGGACAGATATCTCATGGCCAGAAGTTGTGCTGACTATATTCTTAACGGACGTCGCAAATGTGAACTTGAGAATCCCCGAATCCGTTGGCGGTATTACTTCCCCTGTTCGCTCTCAGCATATGTCCGTTCAATCGTTCGGTTTTAACAAACCTTGTCCGCCGTATACAAACACCGGTAGCTGTGAGTATGTCTCTTTCTCAGCCTCCGAAAGCTGAAAATGAGCAACGCAAACGCCAGCAGCAGATGCCTGGTTCTCTACTCGCTCTTCGTCAGGCAACTCCAGCTCATCTTCAACAGAAGACATTAACTGGCTTGTCCATGCTCCCGTTGCTAGGAGGATCTTGTCTGCTCCGAAGACCGCACCAGTGTCTGCTTCGATTGCCTGCGCCCCGTCTTCTCCGCGGACAACCCTACGTGCCTCGCCGATCTCATATTTGACGCCCATCTTGACGGCCTCATTCGCCATAATGGCCAATGCCTTCCCAGCATCCACCCATCCCGCCGAGGGATTAAAATAATATGACCCAAACGGAGTGCAATCAGTTCTCTGAAGCAGTCCACCCCAACGAGTTTTTACCTCTTCCTCAGTCATGTCGACGATCACATCCTCGCGACCACTCTCTGAAAAGTTCTTCCTAATACGGTGGGGCAGATCACTGTCTTTCTCATCCATCGCAATCCATCCTGACTGATGATAGACACCCGCGTCCTGGAAAAACGGGAGCGACTTCCAGGCCTCGATGGCTTCGAACCCCAGACTCATATACAGTGGGTTGGAGTAGTCCGCGCGAATGATCTTGTTGATATCCGTCGATGCGGCCGGCGTGGAAGGAGGGGCGCCGCGGTCTAAAAGCGTGATTCGAGAAGGGTTGGAACTGCTACATGCTAGGTGGTAGGCGGTGCTGACGCCGAAGATACCGGCGCCGACAATGAGAATATCTTCTTCTGCCATATTAGTGTGTTGTGGATGGTTTTATGAGTTGGTGTCGATCGCTTATTCAGATGAGGGGCTTGGGAGGGGGTCGTGATTTTTATATCGCGGGTGATATCAACAACTTATTTCTCGACGAACTACGAACAACACTGCTTATATATAGGCAACTGACTTGGTGTTCTTTAGTAGTATATATATATACAGCTTGTACAGTAGCTGATGGTGTTGTCCAAAGGAATATCATGATCCGTGATAATCCTGATCAGTCATGCATTGCTCATCCGGACCCTCACTATGGCATAACAATGAGCGCTCTCTGACCTAAAACCATCACAGAATGTCACTCTTACACAACATATGAATTATATCAATAGTAGCCCCTCCCATTACCTCCACCATGAACCTGCTGCCTTTTGACTCCTAAGAGTCTCGACCAAACCTCCCCCACAAAAGAAAATAAAAGAAGCTATAATGCCCCTCCAATCCACATTACCGCACCAGCTCGGCGAAATCCTAAACATCCACCCCCTGCAAGAGCATCAGTGTCTGGAGTTCAGCGTTGGCCGCGTCCACCGGTGCAAAAACACAATCAGCCCCGCCACCCGCGCAGCGGCCCTTAGATTACTCAATACAGGCAGCAGGTATTTCAACAAGGGTCGGGATATCAGCAGCACTTTGATCGGGTTGTCGACTCTGCTGCTGTGTACTGAATCGCATCAGTCGCAGTGGTATCGACTAGCTCGAAAGTGGGACTTCCAGGTGTGGAGGTACTCGCTTGATCGGCGGGATTCTCCGGCCACTAAGGATATGGGGAGCAATGAGGATAGGTCTGTGCAGGGAGCTGGAGCTAGTAGTGTCCTCCGCTCGGACGCGGTGCATGGGCCGGTGGAGCAGACACAGCAAGCGCCGGCGGAGGAGTGGCGTCCACAGCGCGAGGTTCCAGGATCATACCCCTCTGAAGAGCGGGCCGCCAGTCCTGTCAGCGAGACGTCGGTGTGCTCGAGCTCGAGCTCGGGTCAGGCCGTGGACACGAGCGTTGTCTCGAGGATGGTGGCGCCAAGGGCGGTTGAGGACGAGTGTGGGATCTGTCTGTTAGGGTTTTTCGTGGACGTGACTGGCGGGTCGGCGAGGGAGTACACTGCGGCTGAGAAGAAGCTTTACGAGACCGAGTATGATGATGAGCGGTGGGTGTGGTGTCAGGGTCACTGTGGCACGAATTATCATCGAGATTGTATGGATCGGTGGATTGAGACGTTTGATGATTTGTTTCCGAGATGTCCGACTTGTAGCGAATTTTGGGTTTATTGAATTGTCTTGGTTATACGAGAGCTGACTCGACTTTCTTTGTTCATCTTTTCTTTTTACTTCACTAGTTCCTTTTCTTGTTTTCTTACTTTTCCTGGTCTTACTGCTGGTCCGATGGTTTAGTATGCTCTTGTGTCACTTGTAAGTCCAACTATATACAAAACACAACTTTTACAGACTCACATCGTAATCCATACAAAAGCATAATTAACAGGCATTAAGCCTACACTTACCTTTACAGCCGTGCAGCCTTTTTCTCCGTCATTCGGTTCAGCCAATGCTGGATCGTGTCGACAAATCCGTCGATTTCCTCCATCGTATTACCCGTATGAAGACACACCCGGACCCGTTCCTTTCCAGCAGGAACGGTAGGTGCCATGATTGCACGCACGGTATAGCCTTCCTGCTGACATGCGGCCGCCAGCTGACGAGGCAAGGGACTGCGTAGAGAAAAGATGGGGGATCTCGGGAAGTGGTCGACTTCGAAGACTGCAGGGTCCCAGGAACCAAGGTCTTCTAACCTGGTCCGCAGATATAGGATCAATTGTTGAAGTTTGTGTTGAAGCTGTCGATGTCAGTCCGAGGCCTCTGAGGATCTATGTATACTTGCGAAAACTCACAGGTTGTGTGGTCCCTTCGGACAGCAGTTCATATGCGGTGCGGATGGAAGCCAAGAACGGGAAACCCAGCGCCGTTGTGTAGATCAGGCTTCGCGCATAGTTGATCAGATAATCTCGGGTATCGGGGCAGCACAAGACGATCGCTGGAGAACAGTCAGGTACATATATATCAAAGGGAGTCTTTTTTTTTGATCGCATACCACCATGACTGGCTAAGGCTTTGCCAAACGTATGAACGCGGATAAATATCCGCTGCTCCACGCCCAGTTCCTGAACCACGCCAGCCCCGCGGGGACCGAATGTACCCGTAGCATGCGCTTCGTCCACGATAAAATAGCCGTTTCCCCTCGGCAGCAGACGATCGACGACCTGGATGAATTCGCGGATCGGCGCAATGTCCCCGTCCATGCTATAGACGGATTCCACCACGATAAAGACATTCCGGGACCCATCTTGGACCTTGGGATCGGCGTCCAGCTGTGATTGTAGCACTGCTTCCAGGCTCTCGGGTGAGCTGTGCGCGAATTGAACCCGTTTGCCTGCCCGGGACAAACGCATGCCCTCCCGTGCACTTGCGTGGATCAGCTCATCATGTACAATCAGATCTCCGGGCTGAGGAATGCAGGATAAGACGCCGACATTGGCGTCGAACCCTGAATTGAACAGCAGTCCACTGGGGGCACCATGGAACTCAGCGATGAAGCTCTCAAGCTCCTCGGCATAAGTTGAATTGCCATCCAGGAGCCGGGAACCTCCACTGGCAAAGGGGTGCAGCGGAGGTGCCTGTTGCAGGTGTTCTAGTAACCGGGCTCGATATGCTGGCGACGTTGATAGTGACAAGAAGTCGTTGGACGAGAAGTCTACTGACGTCTGAGGGAGTACTGTGAGCCTTCGACGAGCCGATTTCAGTTCTCTCCGGTGTAAAGCCTGACGGAGTGAGTCACGCAGGGACTTGGGGGAGGAGACATCCATTGTGACTAGGTTCAAGGTTGGGTCTTTGCAGCCAGAGGCACTAAGTGATTTACCACACCCAAGAGGGAAACGGGCACGACAGAGGGTACTCTTATAGGCATGGTGCTTCCCCTCCAGATAGAGGGGATTGCGGGCATTATCATCCTTCACACCGGAGGCGTGGAGCCGGGGATTTTCACAATGAACTGCGCCAAAAGAGTGGAGCTGTTGTTTCCCGTCATTTGGTGGCTTGCTCTGTGTGAAGTCTGGAAACCTTTTTTGTTCTTGGTTATTTCTTGATTATCCCACGTAATTTCGTGCCATTCGAACATTAATCTTTACAATGTAAGATCGTGGTACTTATAATGTGTACGAATTTTGTAATCGAGGTATATTTATAGGAACCATTCCTGAGCCATCCACAATACCAGATATTATTGATTTCATCAGAAGTTTGGGGTCGGTAGATCAGTTGCTAACTATGGGGAAAAAGAGACCTAGGGTAAGATGCAGGCTGGTTTGAGTTTTGACACATTGTAAGGTAAAAGTATAAGGCGACCCGCCAGAATAAAGGAGATCCCTCCTAAAAATTGGGATTGGATGCATACAAGAAATGTTGAAGCGCGGGAAGGGGGGAAAAAGAAAATACCAAAACAAAAATAAACAAAAAAGAAAAAGGAAAAGGAAAAGAAAAGAAAAGGGAATGAATATCCACCAGACAGGCCGTTGAGGGCCAACCGGTGGGGGGTCCGCAGCGGGCTGCCTGAATGCCTGGACAGAGTGGCTCCCAGGCTGCCTGAATACCTCGGGCCAATTCAACCAAGGTCGTTCTGGATCTCTTACGCTTTCTCGTATCTCTGACTATGAAGTAGGCGGCTGTACTCCAAGTACACAGTACTATTTTTATTTTTCTGACTGTTATCATCGTTATTATTAATATTACTGACTCCTTCGCCTCCTCCTCCCCTCTTCTCTTCTTATTCTCGATCATTCGATCTGTGCTTACTAGTACCATCGACCGGCTCCGACTGTGATGTCTCCAGTGGGAGCTGCCCTCTGGCGTTCCCTTCGCGCCCATCAGGTTTACGGCGCCAACACGGATGTGGGCAAAACAATTGTCTCGACCGTTCTCTGTAACGCGGTCCAGCGCCAAAAGTCCCAGGATCAGGCGGCCTTTCTCAAACCCGTCTCGACGGGGCCATTGGATGACGCAGATGACCGGTGCGTGGGCTGAATCCGTCTTGCCAACCCACTAGTTCATCGGTCTAGTTACACATATACTGATCCATGATCTTAGACATATCCAACGCCATGCTGCGGGTACGTTGACTAAATGTCTCTACCAATTCGACGAGCCCGTCAGTCCGCATATCGCGGCTCAGCAGAAGAAATTTACTGTGCGAAAACCATTCCCTCTGACATGAGGTGCCCAAACACTAATCCTCAGCAGGTCCCTCGCGATGATGATATCTTGGCTTCTGTCCACAAAACCCTCTCTGACTGGGCGGGCAGCGGTGTCAATTTTGCCCTGGTAGAAACGGCCGGTGGTGTCCATTCCCCCGGCCCCAATGGCAATTCCCAAGCAGACCTCTATCGCCCACTGCGGTTACCTATTGTCTTAGTCGCAGATTCCCGATTGGGTGGTATCTCTTCGTCTATCTCGGCCTACGAGTCACTTTTGCTTCGAGGCTACGATATCCACTCGGTGTTACTGTTTCGCGATGAGTACTACAAGAACCATGAATACTTACTGAACTATTTCCAGAAAAAGTCTATTCCGCTAGTTCCATTGCCGTCGCCTCCTCCGAAGCCGTCAGTGCAAGATGTAGATTCCTTGGCGCGGGACGAGGAAGCCATGACAACCTACTATGGTCGTGTTGCACAGGAAACGGATGTGGCGAGCTTATTGGAACAGCTATCTGCTAAGAACGCGGAACGGATCGACCGGCTGGAATCGATGGCTAGCCGGGCACATGACACCATCTGGTATCCATTCACGCAGCATCATGCATGGAGGCCAAGGATATCACACCGATTGACTCTGCCTATGATGACTACTTTCAAACGTTCGTGGATTCGGACAAGTCCCACCATGAAAACAAGCTGCGCGCAACATTTGACGGGTCTGCATCCTGGTGGACGCAAGGCTTGGGTCATGGCAACCCCAGTTTAGCTTTGTCGGCTGCATATGCCGCCGGACGGTACGGACATGTAATGTTTCCAGGAAATATACATGAGCCCGCTTTGTCGCTGGCAGAACTCTTGCTCGAGAGTATTGGCAACCCGCGCCTCCGGAAGGTGTTCTACACCGATAATGGAAGCACTGGCATGGAGGTCGCTGTGAAGATGGGTCTCCGGGCGGCATGCGACCGTTACGGATGGGATGCCAGCCAGGAGCAGATCAGTATCCTCGGTCTCAAGGGAAGCTATCATGGCGACACGATCGGCGTCATGGACTGCTCAGAGCCTTCCACTTACAACAAGAAAGTTGAATGGTATCGCGGCCGAGGATACTGGTTCGATTTCCCGCAGGTGAAAATGTCCCAAGGAATGTGGAAGGTCGAGATTCCCGAGAACCTCCGGGAATCACTGGGCTCAGGCTTCGAGTTCTCGTCCCTGGATGACATCTTTGATATGGAGGAACGGCTGCAATCGGCTGCGGGAAAGCGCTACACAGAATATATTCGCAATACTATTCAGGATCTGGTTCAGCAGGAAGGGATGAAGTTTGGTTCTCTTATCATGGAGCCCATTATTCTAGGCGCTGGCGGCATGCTGTTTTGGTCAGTATCGATATGTACGGTCATGTAAGATCCCTGACTAACAGGCTTGTTTAGTGACCCTCTCTTCCAACGGTGTCTCGTCGAGGTTGTCCGCGGCTATCCTGAGCTGTTTGGCGCAAGCGGGGCTAAATCTACCAAGGATCACCCCGTGGCCACCTCCTGGTCTGGTCTCCCGGTTATCTTCGACGAGGTGTTCACGGGCCTTTACCGTCTTGGCCGTAAATCCTCGGCCTCATTCCTCCAGGTCGACTCCGACATCGCGGTGAACGCGAAACTTCTGACGGGTGGTCTTCTTCCTCTATGTACTACGATGGCCAGTGATGAAATCTTCCAGGCATTTTCGAGTCCGGAAAAGAGCGACGCTTTACTCCATGGACACAGCTACACGGCACATGCTGTGGGCTGCCAGGTGGCAGTGGATTCGCTGCAGACCATGATGCGGATGGAAAACAGTGGGTCCTGGGATGGGTACCGCCAGGACTGGACAACCTTGTCCGATACCCCAGTGACCCTGGGCGCTCGGGACAGCTCTAATATCTGGAGTGTCTGGTCTCATGGCCTCGTCAGTGATCTATCCCATGCGCCATCGGTGGATGGCGTGTTCGCCATTGGAACGGTGCTCAGCATCTCACTCAAAGACGTGCAGGGAGGAGGTAAGTCACCCCTACTGTTCCCCGTTCAGCGCGTGCCGGACTAACATGTGATGTCTCCACCGCGCCAATAGGCTACACCTCGACAGCCGCCAGAGGTTTACAGCAGCGGTTATCGACGAGTGACGGAAAGTTTAATGTGCACTCGCGTGTTCTCGGAAACGTTCTGTACCTCATGTCCAGTGTGACTTCTCAACCGCAGGCGCTACGCTCCATTGAGGGGGTGCTGCGAGAGGCCCTCCTGTAGTAACAAGGCCTGTGTAAATTACCGTACCTTGGATACATGGCCGCTAACATCCCTGACCAAAAGTCAAAGGGGGACGAGGGAGGGGGAAAAACAAAAAGACCCTAAATGAGATTAACGAGTTATAGCGTTTTCAGCAAACCAAATGAACCCCCCGTACGGTTTACTTTCCGAGGGGAAATTGAATTTTTCTGTGCTTATTTGTGTACGGTTAGCATCGGGTACGGAGTACTAGTAATGCGCCAGATGAGGTCATTCTACTCCGGAAAACTATTGAACACACTCCGACGACGTACCTGGAAAGCAGGAGAATGACTCGTGAAGGGATATGTATTCGAGTAGTATTTAGACCAATTCCCCTCAGTATTATTTGAGTAACTATTATCGATTGTTGGTAATGTCATGGCAACATGGCAGTGTTGGTAATTAATTCCAGTAACTCAGTCGTTAGTGATCGGAGGGTTGGAGTGCCTGGCTAATGGGCGATCATTTTAACCTTGGAACGGGAGTGTCATCATGCTCAATGGGCTTTCCCGGTGACTCAAACCAAGTTAACCTTCTCTATGTTTGGAATTCTCCTAATCTGTTCGAGTTTTCGTTCACCGACGGCCCGAGGGCCTTAATTGTGGCCGCCTGATTGGCCTGACTGGGGCACGTGATGGCTGGCAGGTCCCGATTGAAGTCACGGGAAAGGCATTCCGAAAGATGGAAAGAGATCCTCAGGCAGCAGTGCATCTTTCCTTTCTCCCGATGATGTGATAGTACTTCGTAACTCGTCCTGTTAACCATCGTGCTCCGGCTGGTGGGGATCCTCCCACCAATACGTAACTCGCCCGCTGGATCTGCGCGTTTAATCCACAGCCTCCGTCAACGATCCATTGACCCCTCAACAGTTGGTCATTCCAGAATCTCTCCTTGGCGGGAAAGCGAAGTGGGCATGGTCTTCAACCTTCCCCTGATCAAGGAACCACCACCGCTGGGATTGAACAAAATGGTGGTGACGATGCTGATTCTTCAACCATCTACCAAAGGATTGTTTGTCCATGGGTTGAACCCCTCGTTGGGGTCAACAATCACCCCACGAATCACAGAGGGACAGGGAACTCTCTGTTCCTGAGCCACAGCTTGATTTGCTTCAGGTGGTCGCTGACTGGGTGGGACGATTAGACTTTCTCCCCACTGTGAGTAATAACAGAGGGTAACAATTAACTTAACAGCTCACAAACCAATTTACTCCGGAAGAACAGGACGGAGTATACCTCTGGCCCCCGGTGAGCACGATCTGACTCCAACCTAATCTACCCCTCTCATCCGCTTTTCGTCTGTTTGGTCCTTTCCCGAGGTTGTCGTCTTTTCTTCACCGTCGCTTGGCGTCATTGGCCTTAATTCTTCTTGGGAGCTGTCATGGTGCTTTTGTGTTCCCTCTAACCTAAGTACTGCCTTTCTTCCGCTCCCATTGGACTTACATCACTCCTCTACATTACCTTACAATCACCATGTCACTATTCCCTCGGTCCGTGCCTCGGATCATCCTACGAAGGTCCTATGGCACCGTCCAGTCCTCCCCCAGTGCGGCTTCAATTGCCAGCAGAATCCCAGTAGCCCTGCAAGAGGCAACGGCCGCAACGGTGCCCCGGACCACATGGACCCGCGAAGAGGTCCAGCAGATCTATGAGACCCCGTTGAACCAGCTGACCTACGCTGCGGTATGTGCTTTTTTTTTTCCAATCTACGTCGCTTAGTATATTGTTTACTTTTGACTGTTCTTTCCATATGATACCACGATCTTGGAAGCTCGTTGACTCATCCCAAACCAGGCTGCCATTCACCGTCGATTCCATGACCCGTCCGCCATTCAGATGTGTACCTTGATGAACATTAAGACCGGAGGATGTAGTGAGGATTGTTCCTACTGTGCTCAATCCTCGCGTCACAACACCGGCTTGAAAGCAACGAAGATGAGTCCCGTGGACGATGTGCTGAAAGCCGCCCGCATTGCCAAAGCGAATGGAAGTACCCGCTTCTGCATGGGTGCGGCCTGGCGCGACATGCGCGGTCGCAAGACAAGTCTCAAGAATGTCAAGCAGATGGTGTCGGGCGTCCGGGAGATGGGCATGGAGGTCTGCGTAACCCTGGGCATGATTGACGAGAACCAAGCCAAAGAGCTGAAGGATGCCGGCTTGACGGCCTACAACCATAACCTGGATACGTCCCGGGAGTTCTACCCCACCATCATCACCACCCGATCGTACGATGAGCGCTTGAAGACCCTCTCGCATGTCCGTGACGCGGGAATCAACGTTTGCTCCGGCGGTATCCTGGGCCTCGGCGAGGCGGACTCCGACCGGATCGGTCTCATCCACACGGTTTCCTCGCTCCCTTCCCACCCGGAATCCTTCCCCGTCAACGCGCTGGTCCCCATCCCGGGCACCCCTCTGGGTGAACGCAAAATGATCTCCTTTGACAAGCTTCTCCGGACCATCGCGACGGCCCGTATCGTTCTCCCCGCCACGATCGTCCGCTTGGCTGCGGGCCGCATCTCGCTGTCCGAGGAACAGCAAGTCCAGTGCTTCATGGCCGGTGCGAACGCTGTCTTTACCGGCGAGAAGATGTTAACGACCGATTGCAATGGCTGGGATGAGGATCGCGAGATGTTTGAGCGGTGGGGCTTCTACCCCATGAAGAGTTTCGAGAAGGACGCGGACGCCGCCGTCTCGAAGGATTCCGCTCCGTCGGAAAATGTATCCGCTGCGCCGGCCGCCGCGAGTTCGTAAATAGTTTTTGTTTTAACCCCTCCCACATCTGAGATTATCAAATCACTCTCTGCGCCCTCCTCGTATGACTCAATCCTATGAGGCATTATTATGATCCAATAGAAATCGTTCGATCGACCACTATAGATGTCTGGCCCCCTCCACCCCGTAGCATTGATTCGACCCCGGGCTCTGCCCATGTCTTGGAAATCCCTTGGCAGGTATCTATGATGCGCACAGCGCTTGCAATTGCTCTGCTCTGTATCACCCAAACAATGGCGGTTGCCTAATAGCCATCACATGAGGCAGGTGCTGTGTTTTCCCCCCACCTCCCTGGCGTACTTAAGGGCCCTGTCCTTCCGCCCTCCGCCCTGTTCTACCTCACGACACGCCGTTCCGACTCGCTCGGAGCCTGATCAATAGGGCATCCTATTCTCTCTTGGTGGCTGGTGTTACCAGATCACGATTTTGCTCAGTGACTAACATGTATCTCGAAGCGGACTAACTAGCTACTGTCGCAGATGATGCTCATGGATTTCTGTTTCACTTGATATACATCGCGGAAGAGGACTAAGGCTCTTCTACAACACTCACTGTCTACAAAAGGACATCCCGATTGAACAGAGAAAACAAAGTGGTATTTATCTATAAACTATGCTCATTAAGTATGTGCACCCAACTCATGATCACGTCTCGCAGGGATAACATTAATCATTAACGCAAGGTGATACTGTGATAACTTTGCGATGGTCTAGTTAGGCAGACCGACAAATGAAGCTAAATGCTGGAAATCGAAAATGGGAATCTAAACGCGCGAAGATGGATGAACGGGGTCAAAATGTGCAATGAAGTCATGGCATCGTCTATTTAAACAACAGACGTTTCGGTCTTCAGCATACTGGTTGCTTGGGTATCGGACCGGCTCATCGTGGTGTACCGGCTGAAGTCGTTGGGGAGTCTCGTGTCAACCTCGTCCTTGTGACGGTACGCCTGGCGCCGGAAAAAGATCCGCTTGCACCACTTCCACGCCTCGACACCAATGAAGAACAGGATCGCCTCCACGAACACCACTCCCCATTCCCAGGAGATGCCGGTGTGCTTGAACACCACGTGGTTGATCACAGGGATGTACAGAATCGGGAAGGTGGTGATGAATCCGATCATGATACCGGTGAAAAGGAACTTGTTGCGCCAGACATCAAACATCCACTGCGTAAAGTATCTCTTCGAATCAGGCTGCATCCGGAAGAAGCTGCGTCGCATGTCAATCTGCTCCCACGCCAGGAAGAGCGCGAACCAGGTCATGCAAACGAATGTGGTTGCACGAGCACGGAACACCGTGTCACAGTTGCCATCATAGTGGTCGCTGCCGTTGTAGCCAGTGTTGCAGCCACTTCCGAGGTCGCCATCACCCCATCCATACATCACCAGGGAGAAGGATGCCAAGCACAGTGCAGCCATCCAGACGCCATATACGAGAGTGTCCACAATGACTTCCCATGTGAAGATACCTTGTTTCTATTATACATGTTAGCAGATTGCACAAGACTGAGAGTCAAGGAAAGGGAATACATACACTCTGGGGCGGGCGGTTCATGATATCAGGTGCCGCGATCTCCATTCCCAATCCCATGTCAGGGAGACCGGAGGTGATCATAATAATCCAGAGAATTTCGACGGGTGCAATGGGAAACACGGACTGTCCGTTGACATCCTTGAAGACCAGACCAATGAGCAGAGTGAGCGCGAGTCCAACGTTTTCGGCCAACAAATGCAGGACGAATTTCTGAATGTTGTCAAAGATACGACGGCCCTCTTCAATTCCATTGATGATAGAAGCGAAATTGTCATCCATCAGAACCAATTCTGAGGCATCCTTGGCCACATCAGAACCTGCCTGTCCCATGGCAATACCGACATCAGCCCGCTTGAGAGACGGTGAGTCGTTCACACCGTCACCCGTCATTGCCGCGTACTTCCCACGACGATGCAACGCATCAATCATGCGGACCTTGGTGTGAGGCGCGCAGCGAGCAATAACCAATGGTAGAGTGGGGAGATCATCAATCTCGTCCTCAGTCAATTTGTCAAACTGACTGGCTGTCATGACCATTGCATCCGCCACATCCTTTGCGACGCTGTCCATGTTTGCAGGAATGATACCGACCTGTGCTGCGATGGCACGCGCTGTACCGGGGTGGTCACCTGTCACCATGTGCACAGATATTCCGGCGCGGTAACATTCTTCGATGGCACCGGCAGTCTCGGGACGAGGGGGGTCATAAAGACCAATGAGTCCGCAAAAAGTGAGGTCTTGCTCAACTTCATCTCTTGGGGGCACTTCTTCTCCGTCGGTGGGGGTCTTCTTCTCCCGGCAAGCAAGGCAAAGCACTCGGAGGCCTTCCTTGGCCAGAGCTTCCATGTTCTGCAGGATCTCTTCTTTCATGCTTGCCTCCAGAGGCACGGGGCTAGAACCAGCGGTCCAAATGACTGATGTGCAAGAGTCGACCACACGTTCGACGGCACCTTTGGTGAAAACCATCTCGCGGTCACCTTGGGCGAAAATCACCGACATTTTCTTCACGGTTGAATCGAAAGGATACTCAGCCTTCTGAGTCCAAACCGGCTTGTCGCCCTTGGTCCAACGATCACGGCCCCAGTTGAAACGAGACGCGAACACCTGGATAGCGATATCCGTGGGTTCACCACGTGCCTGCCATTCATCATTCTCCGACTTGTGAACATGGGCGAGATTGGCCATTGCCGCGACATTAAGATAGTCTTGCAGCACCTGGTTATCCTTTAGTAGATCTTGAGGGTCCCGAGGCTCTCCTTGGGTATCACGTTGGAGCTCAACCGGAGGTTGAGGTAGCAGGCTCAAGTCTCCTTCTTGGGGGTTTAAGGGATCGCTAGAGGATCCCACGGAGTATGTACCCAGTGATGGGAGCCAAGCCCTTTTGGCAACCATGCGGCCCTGAGTAAGCGTTCCGGTTTTGTCTGAGCAAATGTTAGTCACAGCGCCGAGAGCTTCCAAGGAGTCAAGCTTTCGGACAATGACATTTCTTTGTACCATCTGCTTGGTGCCTACCGCCATAGTAATAGTCAAGACCACCACTAGACAAGCAGGAATCATAGCAAGGCCAGTTGCCACAGCGTAGATAATGACTTCCTTGTCATTTCGCATCTCATTTGCACCCATGACCACGATCGCGAAAACCACGGCAATTGCGAAGAGCAGCAAGGCCAACTTAGAAAGCTTTCTTTGTAAAGGGGTACCGACGTTGATACCCAAGAAGCGACCGACGGCATCGGTGCAGGTCAGGGTCCAGGCTTCCACGTACCAGCGCTTCTTGGTCTCGCCCTGAGGGCCGCGCTTGACGGGCCGTCTCTTGGAATCCCCAGCGCGGAGGGCGGCCGCGATCGCACCAATTTCTGTCTTCATTCCGGTTCCAACCACAACACCGCGGGCGCGGCCCCGGGTCACGGTGGACGAACTATAAGCAATATTCAGGCGATCTCCCGGTCCGGTATCCGGGTCGAACACAGAGTCAACCTCCTTTTGTACCGGCAAGGATTCACCGGTTAACAGCGCTTCATCGGTTTCGAAATTCATGGCATCAACGAGCCTACAGACGCTATTAGCTGGGAGATTTGCCATATTTCTCGCTGGTTACATACCTCAGGTCCGCGGGGACTGTGTCACCCACTTTCAGCTCGACCATATCTCCAGGAACAATCTCGATAGCCGGAATGGTATTGGTTTTGCCGTCGCGAGTTACCACACCAGTTGGGGAACTCAAGGAGCGCAGGGAATCCATGGTCTTTTCCGCTGCATAGTCTTGGTAAACACCTACGATGATGTTGAGCGCGATGACGGCACTGATAACACCACCTTCGATCCACGATTGAATACCGAAACTAACCGCCATGGCAATGATGAGAACCTAATTGTTGTCCAGAATTAATCCCTTATCCCCAAGCATGTGTATAAGGAGATCCACGTACCAGCATCATTGCATTGGCAATCTGTCGAATGACAATCTTAATGAGGGAGACCCCTTCTCCGCCTTCCAGCTGATTGGGGCCATACTGACTGAGACGGTTCTTGCGTCCGCCGTGGTGAGGCCTTCCTCCGAGTTCACTGAGAGCTCTTGGAGGATGGCTGTGTAGGAGAGGGCATGAGCAGGTTGTGATAACGGCTGAGCCGTATCAGTCTTCTTCTCGTCGTGAGACATGGTGTTGGGTGTGTCAATGTGTAGTTGTGGTTGTGTTAATGGGTTTAGGGAAGAGTTATGTGAGGTGATAGAATCTAATGGTGGGGCTTGTCCTTAGGGAGGCTCCATATAGATTGTATCCTCCAGGCAATGCGAGTCCATACACCTACACCAGGTAGAGATACACCTTGAAAGAGGTAGCGATGGATCGGGGAGGAACTGAGGGGGAGATTTAACCTTTTCCTTCTTTTCCATTTGGGATGAGGTGGGGGAATTGTCGGGTTTATATGTTGTTGCTGGAGAATGACGCGAACAAAGGTTCATCGCTTGGCATGGATGCCCTTGGAGAATTGTAAACTGGCGAGGAGAAAGCCAAGCGCCAATGAGGATAAAAGCAGCGCGCGGGTCTTGGCGCATAACCTTGGGTTTGGAGGCAAATGCTGGTTGGACTATGACGCATTCAACCAATGCCGTCGCCACGTGAGCGTCGCTTAATGCTGGGCAGAGGCAAATGACTGGCCAGACCCTCGTCGACCCAGCGGAATGCCAAGCGGGTTCCGGGGCGCGGGAGACTTGGCGCCTCTTGGGTTATTTCCCGCCTCGGCTTCTCTGCACGCTTGGTCGGTCTTGGCCAGACGCAACTGGGAGGGGGTCTGAGAGCCAGTCGCCGCTTGAAATGCCCTCCCCATCGCTCTTCGAATTGTCCAAAAATAATCTTTCCTCGTTCTCTCTGACTGGTTACTCACCCCCCACCCCACTACTCTTACTCGAGTCTTATCGTGCTGACCGGCCCTATGCGACTCCCGGCGCCGGTGTTCAAGCCGACCTATCCGATCCTCCGCGTCTGATACATCTTATTGGATCTGTCGCCAGTGAGTTACGCCTGGCGGTCGTTCTCGTATCGACACGAGACATCACCACCGTCGTGTCGCTCGTGCTATGGCGGGTGATCCGCCCGGCGCTGGAATCGCTGGTGTCGTGGTCGGAGCGGTGCTGCTCTTTGGCGCCATTAGCTTGGTTCCTATGTGAGTTCATTCGTCGAATCTATGATCCCCGCTGCAGAAGAGAATCTTCCATGCATTTCGATTGAGACTGGTCATCTACCGGTGTTGGCGGTTGGGTCTCTTCGCAGCCTCTACTCTTCATATCTCGACCCAGAGATATACAATTTTTTTTTTTTACCTCTCCCTGCCAAGTCCCAAGCAAACGGTTGACCACCCAAGACAGACTGATTATGTGGCATCACCGACGACGAGCGGCGGCGCGAAGAGCCAGTGAAGTGCACCTGCTTCAGGTCAATGGGTGCATGCGACAGGTGACGGTGGAACGATGGCTGGAAGAGTTGGCCCGATCGGAAAATGGGGAACCACAGCACCAGCGACACTACGCTCAGGAAACCTGGTACGGTTGCGCATCCCACTGTTGTTGGTAGCACGCCGGGGCTCTTGGCCCTGGAGATGCGGGGACAGGGCTGACACTAGTGGCCTTGGCCGTTATCATCCGGCCCCGTTTCATCTGTTTTCACGCTCTCTGATTTGTTTTTCTGCTTTCTTCCAGTTCCATCTGCCTTTCGACGCTCGTCGTGCCGTCGTCTTCGCAAGACACGCTACCGTCTTCTCCAGAACCCGCCTGCATCCTTCCTCCTTCTCGCTCGACCACCACTCTCCACCGGCACGACACGCTGACCCCTGACGCTGACCCTCCCCTGCTCGAATCAGATCGGACGCGGTACCGGTACCGCGACGGCGATCGCAGCGTCCTCGTTCTCAACCAGTGTAACCACGCTTTCCACGCCTCCTGTCTTGCGTCATGGTTCGCCTATGGCCGCTACAAGTGCCCCATCTGTCAGACGGAGTACTCCCCCACCGACCCCGGGTAAATTCTCTCTCTTTCTCCTCAGACTCTCACTGCTGATCTTCCCGATGGGATTGCGACATGGCTGGTTCCATGGCTTGCTTGGCGCCTTATTCGGGTCTTGGTGTTTTTTTTCCTTTTTCCGATACGGTCTGATCTATCTTTCTATCTGATCTCATCGGGTGTGTAATGACCCTGTTTTGGGAAGTCAATGTATGTATGTGCTGGTCCAGTGATGTAAATGATGTATGGTTTTGGACAAATTGGCCAATGATTCTTCTCTTCTTTTTATTTTTTTTAAAAAAGAAAAAAAAAATGATGAGAACATACCCCAACAAGAAATCGTAAGCGCAATGACCATCGAATATGTATAGTATATACCCACCTCGACCCCACGGTCACCAGACACATCAGACACATAAGATTAACCCCCAGGAACCCCAGAATCGGAGACATACAGACACCTCATGTCAGAACCATGTCCATCGTAAACCTTGCTGACACCCTTAAACTCAAAAGCAAGCCTAGACCCATGGATCAGAAAGTCAAACAGGTCAGAGACCATCTGGGTGTTCAAGCTTTGCGTCGGATGGAATTATTCCATTCTGGGATGTTTGTTTTACCATGGATGTTAGGGTTTATCTACAGCGTGAGTCTTGTGGATACAGTATGTAATCTGGTTAGAACACTAAATCGTTTATATCAATGTAATATAACCCAGAGATTAGAACGCGTAGATCTTACTAAGATAGTAAAGCAGTCCTACGATAATAAAAATCAAAAAGGCAAGAAACCCGAATGAAAATCACCCTCCACTCCACTGCCCCTAGATCAGCCCCAGCATAACTCCATAATAATAAATAAAAATCCATGAATAACTAAAATAATTAAATTAAACTAACTGGAAGTGTTTACGAGTCGCGTGTGGCGCCAAGCCTGGCTCCCCCCATCTCAAGTCTGGTTCCCCTCCAGCCTTATCCTATGACAATTTCCGTCCGGGAATCTTACTGATATGCATCGCCCGATGAGGGGGTTGTTTGGCCCCGCCAAGACTGGCGGTCTTCTGGGCTAGTTCTGGAAGGATTCTGGAAGGTTCCCTTTTCGGCTGTGTTGGTACTTTGGTGTGCTGTGTTTACTTTTGGGTACTTGTGTTTGTTTGTTTCTAGTGGTAGTGGTGGTGGTTGATCTACCCAGATATTCCCGAATACGTTGATAAGGGAGTGCATGTCTGGCTTGCGTGTTTAGACTGGATCAGTGTCCTCGTGTATCATTCTGGCTATCTAGATAGATGTCGTCCGGATGCGGCGGATGTACTAAATACCATCGTCCCTATTCTGGTAAGGCCTTATCCGGGGTTATCTTATCTTTGCGAGTCGGATCGGCTGGATCGGGGCCTCCTTCCAGCAATTCCGGGGACAGCTCACATTTGACATCGTGGGCTAGAATTAGATAGATTCCCCAGGATAACCCCGTTCGCAGATCATGAACGGAACTACGTGGCTTCGGTGATCGATGGATCTTCCCCGACAGTACATATACTACACGAACTATCTACTTTATATAACTCATTTCCCATTCAGGTTCTATATGATGGATCCATATGAAAATCGGGAAATGTCGGAATCGACAAAACAGCCGGGAAGACATCCAGACCGTATCCATCAGACCTGTCATCGGAGAATATTTCTCGGTTGGTGGAGCACGCCTGCATGGCATGAACGGGCTCGTGGTGTCCAGGGATTGGCTCTTGGCTCTTGACTGCTCTTTTACTGCTTCTAGGGGGTTTTGGTGATACCGTGAGCAGAGTAAGAATTTGAGATATTTGGGAGTCGGGGTTGGTTTCTGGTGGATTGGTAGGATTGTAGTGTACTTAGGGTTTTTTCTGGTCACGAGTTGAAAGTGATAGAGTTTGAAGTACTGTCCTGATATTTTCACTCTTTTGACTGTAATCCTATGTCGCGCTTGTGAGTGCTGGACTCCGATCTATGTCTTTTTGAACAGAGTGAGTGTGATATCCGAGTTGAGTATTGTTGGAGATGGCTTCTCAAGACTTGTACCACTTGCCTTAAAAACGGGATGAATATGACCATGTTGTAGAACTTCTTATGGCGCTGTGCCTCTCTGTATCTGCCAGCACTTTCCCACGTATCAAGAACATCGTCCAATTGAGAACGCCGCCGAAATCAATGATGAATCTGTCGTGGCTTATTTAGGTTGCTGTTTTCACCTCAAATAGCGCAAGTCTGACTTTTGCGCAATCAGCGATTGCCGTTGTCTCTCCTTCTAATGAATACATCGTTATCATGTTATTATTTACTGAGAAGAAGACGCTGAGAATGTGATATTACCGCTAAATCATTACGTTACTCATATCCACTGACCAAGCTTATTCATCTTTCTCAAAGTCCTTCCTCACTTGCTCCGCAACTTGATCATCCACCAAGATCTGGCATGCAACAACAGCCATACCAGCGGCACAGGCAAGACTACGCTTATACCCCTCCGGCGATCCAGCACCATTCGTAAACTGCGGTGTATGATTCACTCCCTCGGCGGGGATGGTGAACATTCCATGAAAGCCGGGCACGGCATAGGTAACATTCCCTGCACGACAATGTCAGTACTGATCCCTAAAGCCGAATCAGGCCATTGCAATACGAACCCATATCTGTCGACGCCCCAGCCAAGACTCCCTTCTTCCCTGAGTTATCAAAAACTGTATGGTGCCCCATTGCGCGCATGGCAGTAACGTAATTCTCACAGATAGGCGTATTGGTCTTCAGATCCGCGTACGAGATGCCCCTAGTTCCAGTTAATGATGTCCTTCCAAAGTAGTATCACGAAGAGCATAGCATACCAATCAAACTCCACCTTGCATCCGGTGGCAGTCGCCGCAGCCTCGAAGCACTTGACCACCTTTTCGGTCAACGGCTTCAGGGTCTTGAGACTGGGTGACCGGATATAATAGTCCACGGACGCCGACATGGGAATCACATTCGGGCGTTCTCCGCCGTGCGCAATGACCCCATGGATCCTCTGCGTCGGTAGGATCTGCTGTCGCAGCAGAGAGATATTGACGTACGCCGCCACCACCGCATCCAGCGCATTCACGCCCTCCCACGGCGCAGCAGCCGCATGCGCCGGCTTGCCAGTAAAGGTCACCGTGACCTTGTCGTTAGCCAGAAACCCACCCGGCAGCACCGTCGCCACGCTCAACAGCTCCGGGTCATCCGGGGCCATCGGCATGGGATGCACCATCAGACAAGCGTCCACGTCCTCGTACGCCCCATTCTCTAGCATTTTCACCTTCCCCCCGCCGGATTCCTCCGCCGGCGTGCCCAGCAGCCGCACCGTGTACCCCGGCCCATCGGGGTACTGCGCCTTCAGGGCCTCGCAGGTCGCGATGAACGCGGCGATCGAGCTGGTCGCGATGAGGTTGTGGCCACACGCGTGTCCGATCCCCGGGAGGGCGTCATATTCGGCGTTGAACGCGACGACGCGGCCGCCGCTGCCGTGGGTGTATTCTATCTCCAGGGCGGTTTCGAGTCCATAGGCGCTGCGACGGACTTGGTAGCCTTCTGATTTGAGGTTTTCGAATAGTGCGCAGATGTGGTCGTGGGCTTTGTATTCTTCATAGCCTAGTTCGGGGTTTGACCAGATCTGTATACGGTCAGAATGCTGCCGATAAGTAGTAGTAAAGATTAACAGAGTAGAATCGAATCCACTAACTTGATGATTGATACTCTTCAACTCAGCATCATATTTCTCAAGCGCTGCCTGAACGCCATCAATCAAGCGATACTGATACTCTTGAACGTGCATTATGTCTCGACAATAGTTGTTGTACTCAGTTGGAGCGCAAGTTGCAACACGAGTGAACTAGGTGTCTTTGAGGTATCTTATATAATTTCCCCGTCTCCACTTGCATGATGAAGCCACTTTCTGGCAGTTCCAGAGCCATTGCTCGGCAATGCTTCGCTTGTCAAGACCAATCATGTCGTGTTCCAACGAATCCTGCATGTCTTATCGCGGGCAAATTCCATCGTCGAGCTCCAGCGATAGGACAGATCGTCGTTTTCTGACCCACCCGCAACTTCCCCCGCTATTTCTCCTCATGGTGGTTATTTGGGGTCGAATCACCCGCCGAGGCGATGGTTTGTATTGCATAAGAGTTGGGTGGTTGAGAGGGTGTTGGTCTTTTTTTTTTTTTTTTTTTTTGTTTTTTCTTTGTGGTGGTTATTGTATAATTGTTTGTTTGTTGGAGGTGGGTAGATGTATATTTAAGAGTTGGCATTGAGCTTAACAGTACAACATAAGAGGAAAACCCAGAAGACAACAACCCTTGGATCTAAAGACTATCTTCATTATACAGTACTATCTTAGTATGAAAATACTATTCTATCCTCAAAAGAAACAACCCGGCAAGGTATTCTCAAGACTACTGTTCACCGAAGTTAGTCATTTATAATAGTACCCGAACAAGCAAGATCAAAACAAGTACAACAGACATAATCAGACAAATATAGTAATCATACACACACTGCACTTAAGCCTTGCAGCAGAATCATTTCGGCGAGTGACTATGTATCATCCTGGTACCCCTGCGAATGTATCCAAAGTCCAAAGAAAAGAAGATCTTACCTTGACATGTACAGCTGGTTGAGACTGTCACTGGGTATGAGATGAGATGCTCGAGGAACTGGTCAAGGAACTGTTCGAGGAAGACTTCGCCTATTTATTACCAGAAGTGTCAGTTCTCTTTAGGACTAAGTGGAGATACATTTGTTGAGTGGTGTTGAGTCAGAGTGAGTCGGATACGAACTGCGTCATATATTTGGACGCTTTTGAGGTATATTGACTACTGTTTAATCAGATAGTGGGTCTATAGAGTGTATACATCAACACAAGGTAGAGGTTACGATCGAGATTGGTTTGTAGTCTGGATCTCTATATTGCTAATTGAGTAGTTATGATTGTATGGATTGACCCTATTTGACTTATAGATACGTTGTGCTAGATCTGGAGGGTTACTATAGGAGGTGTATTGTAGATATGAATGGGAATTCTACCAAAGAGCTGGAGTATCTCTAACCCCAATGTCTAGTTGGATAGAACTAAAAGATCTCTGGCCCATTACCCTAAATATGTCGATCATACTCCTTATATAGTTAATAACAATCACTGGTGTATCTCTTAACCCCCAATAGTCGAGTTGGATGTAGCGTTAGGCCGCAATGGAAATCCATGTAACCAAAAGCTGGCTATTCCGGCCCGGGGACGAGATAATCTTTTTTTTTACTTTGCCCTGAACCTGTCAATTAAATTAAACCTTTTAGTACGTCTAACCAATAGCCCCTTTACATAGAATGCCTAACAGGGCCTTAGTGTTGCTCGCACGAGACAAATATAGGAGATTACATATTAGATAGGGCTATTATTGTTTCGTCTTTCTTTTCATTACTATTAATTAACCATAATACTATATCATCCTGTTCCTGGATTGGTTTTAGCATACCGTCGGTTCCACTTTGAAGTAAACGATTTGACTCACTTGACTCACATATACGAACTCGGAGTCATGCTTTATCAGCAGTGGGGAGCTCGTATACGCTTTGCTCTAAAGATCTTTGTTGTTCCACGGCATTTCTGCAGATTTGCTTATGAACTAACAAGCTTAAATGTACTTTCTCCTGACCAGCATAGCTAGCTTAAGTTGATATAAGCAGATGGCCCTATCGTCCGTACCCAACGACTATATGCACTAGATGAATCACCAGCTTGTGGGTCCAGGGCTGAAAACACTGTGGATCTTCAGTGTTCTTCCCGTATTTCAGGAATGTCAAATTTGATTTCCGTGTCTAAAATCTACTGTATCTCTAGCATAGCTCATAATTGCTTTCCATGGTACATGATTTAAAAGTAATAGAATAGTGTATCAGTGGTAGAACCAAGAGACTTCGTAAAAACTAAGTGTGTTAGCACCAAGGTTCGTTAGTTGACTGTTCCTCCCTTGAGACCAAATTAAGTATCCATCCTGCACCGTGTCAACCCTAGGAACTCTATGTATCCATAGGAAATCACAAATGCTTAGCCAATGGGAATGCCAGATCAGCCCAACATAGAGACGTCATCTGCCTAGGTAATGTGATATCCCCAGCTCGGTCCTGTACCTCCGTTGATGATGAGAGGCTGCTTGGAACCGGCGGGACCATACCCGGGTAACACGACATTAGTCTTGTGTCAAGTCAATGACCAGCCTGTCACACAGGAGGCGTATACTATCGATTGAGGTTGGGCATCGGTCTCATATACCAGGATGCGGCTATGCAGCCCCATAGAGTGAGCTTTTGCTACGAGGGACGATCATGGTGATGGCCAACCATCTTTCGCTAAATCGCTATCATCCTTGAAGATATTAGACTCTACGAAGAGAACGCAACTACTGCTTCACGTTATCTACATGGCCCTGCGGATGGAATCAAGTATCTGGCAGCTAGATTACGCAAGGGATGCTGGGGCTACGGGATGTATTAGCAGAGTTGATTTGTCCAGTCATACAATAGCGGTATGTTAGGGTATGTACCTTGTCAAGGAAAGTCTACATGCATGCAGTTTTATGCCTTCACTCGATTCAGGCCCGATGGGCGTGTCCTAGTTGGAATCTCAACCTCACACACCCAACCCACCTGTTCTACGGATGCCTGCAGTGTGAGGGCGTGCGATCCAGGCAAACACACTCCCAACTAGGCCAAAAGGTCCGATGGTTCAGAATCTACGTGGACCGCACCTATACATTATACCGCCGTTACATGTTCTCAGAGAGCAGGATGATATCGAAGGGAAATCAAGGAAAAGGAGTTCATATGGACAGTTATCCCTGCTTGATCGGGCAGCATACCGCTAACAACTTGTCAAAAAGCTCCTGCTGCAAGGCATCTGCACTGCCAACTGGCCCCTAGCCAATTGGTCTGGCTTGCGATTAAATCCTGCAAGTCGCAGGAAAGGAAGAAAACAATGCGTAATACATCGCTGATTAGTCTCGTTGAGATGGTCTATCACATTAATCACACACGTATGTGCAGTACCCCGCCTACAAAGCGATCCATAGTAGACGATACATTGCAGCTACTCCCTTAACCCCGCCATACATGCTCCAGTCCTGGAGTATTGATCAACTGACATGTCACTACTCCTATATATCCCTGTGGTAAAACACAAACTTCATAAGGGGGCACCATTTACTCTGTTTACTCCTGCGTCCCTTTCCCAACGACGCTGAATACCGAGAAATAAGGCAACAATGTCTGACTCCGGCCCCAAACCGCTCGCCATCGTCGGGTTTGCTGCTAAATTCTCCCAGGAGGCAACCAATGTGGAGAATTTCTGGGAATTCCTTCTCAAAGCCCGCCAGTCTATGACCCCGTTTCCGAAGGATAGACTGAATCTCGATGGCTACTATCATCCAGATCCAGAACGTGCTGGAACGGTTCGTGAGCCCGGTTCCACCGCAAGGAAAGCACAGTCATCCTAATTTTAAAGGCTAGATCCATGCAAAAGGTGCACATTTCCTGGCGGAGGACCCCAATGCCTTTGATGCGGCGTTTTTCAATGTAAACAAAACCGAGGTGGCAAGCCTTGATCCTCAGCAGCGGCTGGTGATGGAAAATGTGTATCATGCGCTTGAGAATGGTATGTCGGTTTAACTCAGGGATAAATATTCGCGCCAGATGCTAATGTTGATGACTTTGTCTAGCTGGTGTCCCAATGGATAAGGCTGTGTCGTCTAATACGTCCGTCTTCGTTAGTGGGTTCAACAACGACCACAGGGATCGGTTGAACACAGACCCCGATATCGCTTTGAAACATCGGCCCACGGGATCGGAAAGCTCCATGATATCTGGGCGAGTGAGCTGGTTCTATGACTTCAGAGGCCCGAGCTTGACGGTCGATACTGCATGCTCGAGCTCAATGGTTGCCTTTCATCTGGCGAACCAAAGCGTCCTAACTGGGGACAGTGATATGGTATGGCTTGCTTGTGTTTAATTATTCACTACCAGTATCTTCTTCCTACATATCTCACTGTCTTTCTTTCGTACTCTCGGCATGGAGCCTCACTGATGCGGAACTACTAGGCAATTGTCAGCGGAGTAAACGTCTTCGGTGCCCTGAGCCATATTCAAGGAATGAGCTACTCAGGATTCCTCAGCCCTGACGGAAAGTGTTTCACATTCGACCATCGGGCCAACGGATACTCCAGAGGAGAGGGAGTTGGTACCGTGATTGTCAAGTCCCTCGACAAAGCTCTTGCAGACGGCGACACAATCAGGGCCGTAATTCGCGCCACGGCCTTGAACCACGATGGCCGCACCCCCGGTCTAACGTATCCCAGTGGTGATGCCCAAGAGCGCCTCATCCGGGATATATACGCATCTGCCAGGTTGGACCCTGCCGAGACTCTCTACGTCGAGTCCCACGGCACCGGTACGACTGCCGGCGACCCCATTGAAGTACGCTCCATCGCTCGAGCTTTTGGCTCCGTCGACCGCGCGCAGCCGATCTATGTTGGAGCGGTGAAACCCAACATTGGCCATGTTGAAGGTGGATCGGGGATATCGGGGATTATCAAAGCAATCCTCATCCTTGAGTCTGGGGTTATTCCCCCGAATGTTAACTTCGAGAAGGTTAACCCGCACATTCATATGGATGAGTGGAAGGTCCGTTTTCCAATGGAGGTTATGCCTTGGCCTGCGTCGGGCCCTCGACGTGTGTCGGTGAATTGCTTCGGGTTGAGTGGGACCAACGCTCATTGCATTCTGGATGAT